CTTAATCTATGAATCTATGAATCTATGAATCTATGACTTCAGATGGAAGAAGCACTCTTAGTCACAGCTGTAATTTAGGCATCTAACAGCAGCCTTAAAAGGTGCCCTTGAGCCATAAATAGTGGTTGCGCTCCTTGTCTGACATGTGGAAGGCAATTTCTAATGCCCATACAGAGAAGATAGGAGCTTGGCTTTAAGGTCTGCCCCAAAAGACATGATAATTTGCCCAGGTGCCAGTTTTTCTGCACTGTCCTTCACAAAGCCTGCACCTTTCATGATGGCAAATGGGATGACATCCTACCTCCCTGATGTATAGCATCTTCCAGCACGGATGCGGCGATTAAGTCAGTGGTAGAGAGATCCTGTGGGTCACCTGAGGTACACACCCAGCGGAATGGCCCAAATCCCAGGGAAAAAATGTCTCTGGGAAGAAAACATACTTCATTAAGGGATGGCTGAAATTCTTGCCCTATTTATCCTGGCTGTGAGCAATGCTTTTCTTTCATTAACTGAAGACGGAAGAATTCCAAACATTTTGAACTAAGCTAAACAGAAAGGACTTGGGACCAGTATTTCAGAATTTAAACAATGCTGCCTCGTGAAGAAGTCAGCCGGGGTGCGTGAAATCACTACCACACCTGCAGCAATCGCAGCCTTTGAAAGAAAAAACAAGGCCATTTAGTCAAACAAGCTAATGTACAAACTAATCCCAGATGGTTCGCACTGCCTTTCATACAACAAGGGCACAGGTGCCCAATTCCCCTCTTCCTTGCAGCAAAGTAACACAATGGACATGAATGAAGTTATGCCTGATTTACACCACTGTCAGTGGAGCCTCATTTTTACTGTTCCCAGAGGAACCTGCTTTTACAGACCGAGGGCCTGTTTCAGCCCTTCTCTCACATCTGTGGACAAGGAAAAGAAGGGCAAGGTGGGTATACATGCAAATTAAGTGAATAGAGGATTCCCTTTTAGTAGTCCTTTATCCTACTTTGCACTTACAGGGCTGGAGAATGCAGCTCCTTTGTCTTCTACTGAGGCACGACAGAATGAGTCTCCCTACAAAGTAGCGGCACTTGGCCAATCTGTCTGCAAATTGCTGCAGTGTCAGCTCTGCTTTCCATACACACAGACTT